CATGCGAAGTTACTTGTCAAAGTTTTAAGACAAGGTTCTTGTCTTGGCATTAATAAACACATCTACTAGTAATTCTTTTTATTACTGTACTTCAGGCAGTTTGGCAATGGCCTTTTAGCTGTTGCAAATGCACCAAGTGGTATTGACCGTGTCAACTCAGGAACTGACATTACTTGGCAGAGATAGAGTAGATGTGGGGTGAAGATGTTTTCATAGCACAAATCCCTCTATCCTTCCCAAGCTTGTTGGGGCATCTCAGTCCCAGAGTCCATAGCTGAGAGATACCAGTAGTGTGGGAGCCAATTCATCACATTCTAAGCCCCACTGATGCCTCTGTGTGAATCAGAGCAAGGCATGGGGGTGTAGGATTCACTCTAACTTGTTTGGCTGGTTTTCATGAGGTGGCTGATTAACTTTGGTAGTCAACTCATTTCTCTGTTTGAGAAAGATAGAACCAACGTGCAATATTAAAAATTTCTTGAAAATGAAATACTTAGATATCAGAGGAAATTATCAAGAATAGCTGTCAATAAGGAACTTTTGAATGTGATTTTTCTGGAAGGTGTCCTATCAGTCACCCAATGCAACACTTTACATTCTGTAGGGCAATCAAGAAACTTATGCCAGAAACCTTTCTTCTCTCCTGAAACTTGAACACTATAGGCCAGAGGGGCATGTGCATTCATTAGCACCTCTACTGGTCATACTGACCTAGTACTCTCTTGGTAAGAGGCAGTTCAATGATGACTGGCCATCTGGAAGGCCCTGGCTAGGCCGGTTGATTTGTACATTTCCAGTCCCCTTTCATCCTGGGTAGGTCTTGCAGTCTTTTCTGAATGGAAGACTACAGCATGAATGTCCTCCCCTAGGGCTCCTTATGGCTAGAAGTTGCCTGGGGCTGAAACTGACATGTTGGGAGAAACACTGAGTCAGAATATGGCAGGAAAAGTCTCTGATTCGGGAGCCACATTTTCCGGTTTCAAATCATCACTCTGCCCTCTCTGTGACCTCAGGTGCATTGCTGCACTTCTCCTGGTCTCATTGCTCACCTTTCTCAGCTCCAAATAGGGTTGTAATACAGATTAAATGGCAGCACTGTCTGCCTCAGAGAAAGCATTTTGTAAGTAAGTAGATGATCATCATTTGTGTTGATCCAATTCAGACACTTTAGCAATTCTATATGGGGCCTGTACAGCAGTAGCATTAACTTAGAACTTTGCTTGGCATTACAAGACATGTACCAAATTAATCTCTATAGTGACTTAGTTGTGAACATCATTTTGCATCAGTATTTTGTTCAAAATTTTCTCAAGTACCTTTTAAAAAATAATTTCTTTACTTTCAGGTAGAAATTTAAGATTTTCAAGGGCTGGAACTTTCTACTAATTTCTTCACATACCGAATACAGAAGTGCTACATGTATGTCAAATAAAAAGTAGACTGTTTTTAAAATTAAAAAGAAATCTATTGAGAGGCAAGCTCTTCACAATGCCAAAACAGATAACCAACCAATATAGTCACGAGGCTCCTAGTTTCAGAAGAGTTAAATTTTTGGGTTGATTTCATTGTTCTCAGTATAATAATCTGACTACTTTATCACATAATCTCTCCACCTAACATCCATATGACTTTAGGACGTCTGGAACTCATCATTGACTTTCAATTTAAGGAGGATTGCATGCTAGGATTACTAATGGCTTAACTGAAGACAGAGGTTGCAGTATTGGGACATAATTCCTATTTAGAGATTAACATCATATGAAGTTAGGATCTGTTTTTTTTTTACTACTCACCTGAGGACATGTTTAGAGACAGGAAGGGAGAGAGAGAGAGAGAGAAATATCAATCAGTTGCCTCCCATACACACTCTAACTGGAGACCTAACCCACAACCAAGGAATGTGCCCTGACCATATCCAGGAATTGAACCAAACCAGCAACCTTTTGGTGGACAAGATAATGCTCTAACCAACTGAGCCACTCTGGCCAGGCAGTTAGGATCTTTTTTAATCAAAGAAATATCTAGTTGGCATTATTCAAGTAACCCAGAGTTTCTGATTACAGGAAACCATGCCATGTAGGTGAAATGTTGATAAAACATGGCATTGTGGGGTGGGGGCGGCTGGAAAGAGGTCCATGGGGCAAAAGGAAGACTTTAGGTTACTGTGAACATCATATTTGAGAATATATATAAAATTTTTAGCCCAGGCACTATATAGTTAGGGTTCATGAACCTCAGCTATGACCATGTTTTCCTATCATTTGAAGATACTTCCTACCCTGATCCTGTATTGGTAAGTAACAGAATGACAAAAAGAAGGCTCTTCCTTGTTAGCATCAAGTCCTACTTTATTCAGGGGAATTCTAATTTGCATTTCATTAAATGGTTTTAATACTTGTGAGACCAGAAGGTCCTGGAATTGGATACCCACCCTATTTTTTTCAGAACCTCTGAGTCAGGTTCAGACGAGCTGCCACCTTCCTCTAGTATTTTCATCTACTGAGGCAATTTCCTCACTGCTTTCCCAGGTAGGCCAAGGAGCTATTGAGAAAACTGTCAACACTGAAGAGCAGGTTCCTGGAGGAGGAAGTGACGTGTCTGAGGCCAAGTTTTTGAGGAACTACTGGGCCTGTCTTAATAACAGCCAATTTTAATAAGCATCTACAATGTGCTGCCACTGAGTTAAACACTGTACATGCATTATGTTGCTTACTACTCATAACAACCTTTTGGAATGAGACTGTCATTATCTTATTTTTATATGACGCAATGAAAGTAAAGAGAGGTATCTTATTTGTCCAAATCCCCCTAATTCTTAAGACTAGAGTGTGCTCTGAACACTATACAATCCTGAATACAAGGACATTGTGTCTGAAAATTGTTGCCTCTTTAAGGTCTGTAGGGTAGATATAATTTTGAAAGGAAAAAGATTAACTTCTTTTGAAATTTTCCTTTATCTTTATTTCTCCTGGATCTTTTTTTTTTACAGTTAACTAACAGCTTTATTTTCTAATATAGAAGAAATTGGAAACATCAAAGGAAAAAAGACTAAATAGAAGACACATTTCTTTTGATCACTTAGAGACTTAAATCTCACTTCGACTGCTTTCTAGACTTAACTCTCTGGGGTTAGAATTAATTACCTCATCCTCTGGACTCCCAGAACACTTTTTAAAAATAAATTCACAACATGAACAGGTTGATATAAAAAATATTTAACAACTGGTACAGATGCTGGCCAAGTGGAGAAGTAAGGCCTGGAGTGTATCATTAACCCTTTAATTGCTGGATCCAGGGTATCTCAACACCCTGGCAGCTGGGATGACTGGGAAGCAGTTAGAAAACAATGGCAGTGGGTATCTGCCAAGCATTATGGAAGTATATATTATCCCAACAACTAATAAGGATGTATGGGTTCAAGGCCTATTTCTTTTTTAAAAAATTTAGATATCATTGACATATAACATGGTATCAGTTTCAGGTGTATCCCATAATTATTTGATATTTGTATAGGCAGTGAAGTGATCACCACAATAAAGCTAGTTAACATCCATCAACATACAGAGTTACAGAATTATTTTTTGCCATGAAAACTTATAAGATCTACTCTCTTAACAGCTTTAAAATATACAATACAGTATTAATTATAGTCTCCATATTGTACATTACAACCCCATGACTTATCTATTTTTTACAGCTGAGAGGTTGTACTTTTTAATCTCTCTCTCCCATGTCACCCACCCCATGCCTCTGGTAACCACCAATCTCTTCTCTACATCCATAGCTTGCTATTTTTTGTTTTGTGTTTTTTAATTGTCTCTTGGGTTTTTTTTTAATTTTAACATAAGTTAGATCATATGGTATTCATCTTTCTCTGTCTGACTTATTTCACTTAGCATAATGCCCTAAGGTCCATCTGCTATTGCAAATGGCAAGACTTTCTTCTTCTTATGGCTGAGTTATATTTCAGTGTGTATATGTCTGACCTTTTCTTTATCCATTCACACAAAGAACATGGGGTACATCTGTCATTTCAAGTTAGTGTTTTTATTTTCTTCAGATAAATACCCAGAAATGGAATTTCTGGATCATATGATAGTCCTATTTTTAATTTTTTGAGGAACCTCCTTACTGTTTTTCATAGTGGCTGCACAATTAATATGCCCACCAATAGTGCAAAAGGGTTCCCTTTTCTCCACATTCTTGCCAACACTTGTTACCTTTTGTCTTTTTGATAATAGGAATGCTAACAGGTGTGAGGTGGTATTTCATTATTCCATGGCCTCCAGCAAAGATTGGGGAAGAAAAATGTGTCTAAATAATTGATAAATTTTATCAGCATTTTAAAAGTTGAAACATGTTTTCTGAACCTGAACAGTTAAACCAGATCAACCAAACAGAGGAGGAAAAAGATGGGGGGGGGGGCGGGAATATGTATATATATATCAGCTAAAAACCCTATCAATGTCCTATTCTTAAACATTAGTCATGGCTCTGTAATCAGAACAACTAACTGTATGTTTTAAACATAAATGTTCCCTGTAGGAAAAATTACAGCTTTGTGGTGATATCCAGAAAATAAGAAACAAATAAGCTTCCATATTGTCCATGATCTATTTTCTGAACCTGAACAGTTAAACCAGATCAACCAAACAGAGGGGGGGAAAAAAAAACAGGAAGTAGAAAATGACTTTGACAGTTTCTTCCTCAGCCTGACCAGTGTTTTGATCTAAAGCACGATCAAATGTATTGGGTGCATTTAATTAATTAATTCAACAAATGTCTGTTAGGCACCTACTACATAGGTGTTTGGATATGGGAAAATGGAAGTTCCTATCCTTTTGGAACTTATATCTAGTAATCAACACAAGCAAAACATAGAAGCACATGAATATATTTAGATAAATGTATATGTCAGGTGGTTATCAGGACTCTGAAACAACATAGCATACGGGTGGATAGTGATCAATAAGGGAATGATAATTTTTTTTGCTTTTATTTTTATTTTTTCCCTTTATTGGTTAAGATATTACAAATTGGATAACACCACATTTGAACTGAGACTTGAAGGAAGTGAGGGAGTGAGCCAGGCATATATTGGGTAAAGAACATTCCAACAGAGAACAGCACGTTCAAAGGCCCTTCAGTCATTTTGTTTAGTAATGAGCTTGTAGTACAAGGAGTTGGGCTCTCATTACCACTGAAGTGTCTGGTGACAGTGCTGTGGGACTGGCCAGGGAGAGGTAGAAAGCAAACCGAGGTAGATAGCAGGTACAAACCTGGGTGGAATCAAAAAAGAAAAGGAAGAGTTTTTAAATTTCTGAGTGTAAATCCAAGCATGGTCATTTGCAAACATCATGCTATTTTTTCCACTCACTGAATTGCCAGGAGCTCTCTGTGTTGCCCCAGATTTCAGACTTGAACATGTTTTCTGGGCTCTGTTTCAAAGCCTCCTTTTTGTCATTGGCTGCAGCTTCTGAATAGATCCTTATTCTCCACATTATTTTTTTTTTCAGTTGATTGAACTGTGGTGCAAAGAGTCTCTCTCTCCACATGAACTACCTCTACTGCTCCAAGGCTTTCCGCACAAGGAAGCATTTACGGGTAATGAGGATTTGATGAATGTAAAGGTCTTGACTCAATGATTACTATTTGGAAAGTTTGGGTTACCAACAATGCTCCCTTCCCTTCCCCCAAAGAGCTCAATGTGTATTGCTAAAGAAGGTGGGAAACCTGTTCTTACTTGTGAAAAAAAATCCACAAGGTACAGCTCCACAGTGCCAAGGAATGTTGGTGTTGACTGAGGTCAAGCTAATACTTTCTACAAATGAGAATCTTAATAAATATCTGTTGAGTTGAACTGGAAACAGCTCACTTAGGAAATTTAAGATATTCACTGCTCTATGAGTTGAAATCGTCCTTGGCAAATAACAGTGAACATTTTCTTTAGGGAAGATTTTCTAAATTATATTTTCTTTAATCATATAATGTCTTCATTCCTCTCCTGATAGCTCAGTGTAGATATAACCTTAATCATTGCTTAAGGAAAGCTCTACTGCAGTAACTCACTGTTTTAGAATTTAATGGAACCCCAAAGAGCTCTATGTTTATCTTACATTCTGGAATTTGAGGCCCAGAGAAGTTATATAGGACTAGAAACAAGGTTCCTAATTCTCAGTTTGGGATTTTTTTCATTACAACATTCTGCCCTTCATGGTTTTCTGTTATTGCTTCATACCCCGGAAGCATCTTCCCTTTTCTCAGGCAGCAAATATAGAAATAAAATACACTGCCAGGACACCTGGAATTCTAGAGGCAACAGGTAGATTCTTACTAGACGCAATAGTCATAAGTTGGCCCAAGGCTGAGGCTGGTTGGAGAAAGATATAGTGGTGTTCTGAACAAATAGTTATTTCAGACATACAGAAGATGACTGCTTTCCTTTCTCACTATAGTTACTCGTCAAGTCATTTTTAATTGAATTTGTTTTGTCATCAGAAAGAATTCTAGCAGCTTTTTCAGCTTAAGAACAACCTAATCAGAGTTCTCCAACAGCTGGGCTATAGCCATGTGGAATCATAAATAAAATCAGCTAATAATTTAAGCATAGTAACTAATTTCTTTCTTGCTAGTCCCAGACAATGATTTTAGGTAGATTTATTATTCTCTTATTTACCTTGGCTAATGGGATAACAAAGATTCTATTAAGTCAGCCAATTGTTTATCTACAGACAAAAGGACACATCTTAGGTAAACAGAAACCTCTCTTCTCAAGAAAAAAGGAAAAGCTTTGACTCATCACTTTGAGTGGAGTCTTATAAAGAATAACTTTTAATATATGTGACTCATAAAAAACAAATATACATTAAGCACAAAAATGAAAACCCCCCTAGTCTTGGTGTCTTAGCCACAAATATATGAAAAGTATATTCACTATTTTATATGCAATGTTCAATGGATGGTTATTGAAATCTCTACCTCTTCTCTTTTAAAATAAAAAGAAGTTTTGATGCCTCAAATGGAAAGAGACTTATGGCAACTGGGAGAAATTGGACAGTGTGGCAGTAGTTACAGAGTGAGTATGTTTTGATTTCATTTTTTTCTTGATCAAGTATAAGATGTTAATGCCTTTGCAAACACAGTTATTCCTGCACCTGGATTCCACAGTGGAAAATAAGGCTCACTATAATAAAAGCAAACAAAGTATTTGCATAATAGTTATACTCACCAAAATCAATAGATAGCTCCATTGAACTCCGCCTGCACATGATTTGCATAGAGTCAATACACTCATTTTTCTCTTTCATTTCATGTTGAATATTGAATCTGGAAGAACTGTTCTATTTCCCTGGAGGTTGTTATATCTTGATCTCTTCCCCCGCTCTCCTTCTCTTCCTCCTCCTCCTTCCCCCCACCCCCTTACATTTTAGTCATCCTGATGAAAGATAAGGGGGGAAAATGGGCAAAACATTCTCATCAACACATTCTTTTAAAAAGACTACTGTGCGTCAGCCCCCCAAATACCAGTAATCTCTCCTCACCTGGAGCTTACATGGGATTGGGAGAGCGCAAAACAATAGACAATAAATAAATGAATACAATAATTACTTCACCCTGAGAAGGTTGATTTAGTTGGGAAGCTCAGAAGAGGCCTCAGTTAGATAGTAATGATATTTGAGCTGTGACTTGAAGCAATGCACAGCTCTGGGGACAGAGCTTTTCAGGCAGAGAATAAGACCCTAAGACAACTGAACCTGGCATGTTTGAGGATCAAAAAAAAGGCATGGGCAGCTGGTGGAGAGTGAGTGCCGCCTAAACGGTTGAGATGGGCCAGAGTGTGACAACCCCGAGGAGCTACCATAAGCAGTCAGTACTTTATTCTAGTTACAGTGGGAAGTCATTGGAAGATTTTAAGCAGAGCAGTGACATAATTTGATTTATTTTTTAAATGATCACCCTGGCTGTTGTAGTCAGGTGAGAGATAATGATGTTTGGACCAAGTTAGTATCAGTGAAGATGGAGAAATGCTGACAGGTTTGAGATGCAATTTGAATATAAAAGCAAGAGGACTTATTGATGGATTAAATAGTATGGCAGAGAAAGAGAGATCAAACATACATTCTTAACTTTTAATTGAGCAACTAGTTGGATAATAGTACCATTTACTAAACTGAGGAGCAGCTGGTTTGTGGAGTATCAAGAGCTCTCTTTTGGCCATAACATCCTGGGGAAGTCTCTAAGACTTCTAAGATGAGCATTGTTGCAATGATATCTTTTTATATAGACTGTATCATATACTTTTAACATTTTCATTTCCATGACTGATGGATAGATTACATGGGCAGATGGGGAGAGCTGGACAAGAAGGAGACATGAGTAAAGAGACGGGGGCACAGAGCATGGAGGAGAGGTTTTTGTTGCTGACTGCCATGCCAGGCGATCCAGCCTTCTCTCTGCCTTGTGCCACCCCCTAGAAGTTCATGCCCTTTTCCTCTCCAATGCCTTCTCTAGACCATCCTTCTGGGGGCTGAGATGAAGCACTTCCAAGGAAAAGGAAAATAGCAATCGACTTCTACCCTCTTTGTTTTGTAATCCTCATTTGTCTTTGAAATGCTACACTTTTCTTGATTTATTGTCATTCCAGTTGTTACATGAAAGCTTCCTAATCTCTGAACTTCTGGGTTCACTGAGTTCTAGGAACCAGGAAAAGAATATACTTATTCCTATTGAATAATAATTCAGCATTTACCTCTTTGATATTTATATTTCAATAAATATAAGCAACTTGAATGATTAATTTAAAGGAATGTTTTTTAAAACTATAAAGTTACATTGAGGATAGATCTTATCAATGATTCATTGTCTTTCACACAGTTGCCAAATGAATTTTAAGTTTCAGAGAAATGTTATTTAAAGTTACTAGTTAATATTTATGTCAAACACTATTACATTTTTAAAAATTTTATTTTGAAACAGATTAATAAGAAATTGCAAAGATAGTACAGAGAGGCCCACTGTACCCTTCACCTGGTAGCAGCTATTATTTTTTAAAAATCCTAATATATTTGCTTTTAATTAATTTAAAAGAGCAAATATTCTTTTACATGTAATTGGATTTTTGGTTAAAAAGTCTATATTTGCATTTTTGCTGCATATATATTCAGACCAGAATTACTGAGTCACAAGGTATTTGTATGTTATTTATGGGGATTTAAAATTAATACATGTTTATTATCTAATATTTAAAAATATAATCACAAAAAGGAAAAGATATTTAAACTACCTGTAATCCAAGCACCGAGATTTAGTAATGTAAAACTTTATGTATAAAGTCTTCCTGTGTGAATGAGGGAAAGTGTTCCAGGAAGAGAGAGGGACAAACCTATATAGAAGTCCAGTGCAATAGACTTCATGTCACTTTTAAGAACTGAAGGCAGTTCAATATGATTGGATAGCAGACAGTGTGGGAGAAGACTATGGAAAACTCACTAGGAGCTTGTTAATGGAGGACCTTATAACTGCCCACTTAAATTTAGTCTTTATCTTAAGAGCAATGGAAAAAGCCATCACAGATGTTTCAGGTGAGAAATAACATGATCAGTTTTGTGTTTTAGAAGATCATTTCTGTCTGCAGTGTGGAGAAAGGAGCAGAGTGGAACAAGACTTGAGGCAAGAAACAAGATCTCCTAGTAATTCAGGTTAGAGATCATGGGTATGTGGACTAGTGAAATGTCAGTGGAGAAGACATTTGGTTATTAATAGGATCTGAAACATTAAGAGAGAGGGACAAGTCAAGGAGAGCTTCCAGTTGCTTGGACAACTAAATAGCTGGTGGTTCCATTCACAAACAAGAGAAGGGGAGATCTGGGTCAAGAAGGAGATGATGAATTAGTTTTGGATTTACTTGTTTAGGATGAACCGTAAGCTATCCAAATGGGTGTGTACAGGTTACAGTAGATACATAGTTCTTTGATTCAAGGGAGAGGTCTATCTTGAAAATACGGTTTGGGAGTTATTGGCAAATAGATGGCTACTCGGGTAAAAGGAATTCTAATGAAAAAAGAAAAAGACTGAAGAGAAAAACAGCTATATTTTAAACCATGGGGGGGGGAAAGAGACTACAAAATAATCCAGTGCACTGTAGCCACAGAGAAAATAACGGAACCAGAATTGTGTAATGCCAAGCAAAGAAAGGTTTTCAGGAACAGGAGAGCAGGATCAAGTGCTTCTGAGTGAGCATATGGAATGAAAGTACTAAATTTGTCTACATGCCCCTCCT